GACAGGCTGGCCTAAGGATCCCACCAAATATGCAACCCAATCTTATGCAGCAGCGATCCAACCCATCCATGGGTGGTGGTATGGGTCAGGCCGCTCCATACGGATATTCACAGCAGCAACAGCAGGTTTGGGGACAGCCACCTCCGCAGCCACAGCCGTCCCCGTTGCCCTCGTCGGGCCACCAGGGCGTTGGAATGTCTCAGTACGGTCAACAAATGTCTGCAGCTCCGCAACAAAGCCCATCTCCCCTTGGGCATCATCCGCAGCAGCAGCAACATCACCACCAGTCTCCTCGCAACCAACAGCGACAGGCAATACCTCAGATCCCTCAGCAATATTCCCAGATGCAACAGCATGCTCAAGCGGGACAGGCTCAGGGTATGCAGGGCATGGGATATCCAGGAGCCAACCCAGCCGGTTATCCGGGCATGACACGACCCATGTATCCACCCAACCAGGCTCACGGTGGCCAACCCTTCATGGGTGGAAACCCTCAACAGCCGGGTCTTGCAATGAACATGGCAGGCAATGGTATGCCCGGATGGCCTACCGGACCTGGCCAGATGCAAACTGGACAGCCTCAACCAGGCCAGTCTGGCAGCCCCTTAGGAGGGGGATGGTCGTACTAGCTGTGACGGCCGGCGTTATGTAGATTGGCGTTTTTTTACCAGCTTTACACATCATCTGAGGCGTGATTTGATTTTTTTTTACCTTTCGCCACATGCTTTCATTCATACCTGAAATATTTTCATTTTTTGATGTTCCAGTGTTACAATACAATACGTCCTTTACTCCATGGCGAAGGATGTTCGGCTAATGTTAATCTGGGCCAACCTTCTATACCCTTTGTTGAGTTGTACTTAGTCGAGGTACCCGTTTCTTTGTTTTTTGCCTTTTCTTTTTGTTTCCTTTGCTGGCGTTGGTCTCTTACCCTCGGCGTTTACATCTCTGCTACTTTGGACAGTGTGTTACAAGATTATGAATATGTATGTTTTTGTTTGATTTTCTTACACGCCGTCGATAGAGGGTGAATCGCTATGGACAGTCTAGTTTTCTTGTACCTTGCCCGGGATATCTGATCGTCTCTTGGCTCAAAGAAATGTGTGATCCTCGTTCACTTGCATCAGCCTTGTGTATTTGGCCTCTATTGTTTTCAAATCCCGGTTGTCTTGTCTATGTATCAATGCTTCTTATGTTTACCTTGTATGTCTTTCCCATGACAGTTTCTCTTTTCTACGTTGCTCTCCGCTGCTACTCCCCATACTTCATTCCTTGTGGTTTCAGTCGGCTTGTTTCTCATAAGTACACGCATGGTTCTTGTTGGATTCAATTTTTTCGTAAAATTCGTTGTGTGGATAGACGGTTTGATTAAGTTAGTCTATACAGAAAATAACATCAATAAGTTTTTGCCTTTATCCGTGTGTTACTATGTATGTCTATTCCATTCTGATCGAGGGTTTTTATACACATGGGAAAATCCTTTGTCCGCCATTCTTTGCCATCTATCTATAAGACAGTTAGGGTAAATAACTGAAAAGACCACTAGAGAGACATAACAAGATCGCATCGGCAGCCGAGTTTTTTTTTTTTTTTGAAACTAGTTTTAGAAAAACCAAAAACCACCTGTTGCATTTATGATATATATGGGCAGAAAAAAATATAAAAACAAAAAGAAACGTCCCCGGGAAGGCTTGAACTTCCAACCTCCCGATTAACAGTCGGACGCGCTAACCAATTGCGCCACGGAGACTTGTTTGATGAAAGACCTAGTGGTCTTTGTAATTATAAGCCAAATATCGCTATGTTGTCCTACATGGAATACCCTTGATGACTAGCAGGATAACTATACAATTTAAATTCCTTTATCTAACAATAATCAAATATTTTATAATTCTTATTTAACATAGATATACTATTATTTCCAAGCGAATCCGCAAGAAATAAAAGGAACTTTGCGTTGAGTTATCACTATCCGAGTAATATATATATTTTGGTCACTGCAGTAAAATGTTCGATAGTGAGGCCTCGGACTTGTTCTTTATATCCACCAGATACTATATACATATAGCAAGCTGAGAAAAATCTAGCGGACACCACGAAAAAGGCGCCGATAGCACCAACAAAGAAGTGACAGATCCTCATCCACTGACAAGAAAGGAGCATCGGTAGTTCCGAACGCTATAACCAACCAAACAGCCACCGGGTATAGCTCACGCATGTACTATATACTATATACTAGTACGTATGCTGGTACCAAGTCAAAAAAAAATTATCAGAAAACGATGAAAACCGAACAACCAAAAGGGTACTTCTGGAGCTTTCGCCTAAGAGACTGAGAGCGACGACACCGTTATTACTGCTTCATCAATCGAGCAGATCAAGTGACCCAAATCAGTCGGTAACATTGGCACTAGTGAATACAAAATACCGGGAAATTCCCGGGCAGCAGTCTCTATCGAAGTGACAGAGGAATTTTCTCGGTCACAGAACATATATCGATAGGATTATAGAGCATATGGGCCTAAATCATGCCCTCGAATGCAATTGCCTATGCCTCTAGCTACTGACATCCCCTATAACTAGTGTCAACTAGACATTGGGCTCTGGCAGAAAGCAACCAGCAGAGTAGAAGATCTCCAGGTACGTCGAAGACGCCGGGAAAGCGGGCTGGTTGTCCCAGAAACCAAGGTCCGGTGCTGCCCAAGATGCGAGCAAGCTTCGCTGGCGAGTAAGCGGTCCCAGGAGACAGGGAATAGCTCCAACAATGATCGCGAGGACGGGAACTTAACACAAGCCTTTATCTTTACTACGTAGGCACATTCATAGCTCGGAGCTATCGCGAGCAAGACCCGGTGGCCCCAGCAACAATTGCCGAGCACGTCGCTTCCGATGCAGCGACGAAGGAGGCGGTTTATTTAATAGTACCCCTTACAGATAGTGATAATGTTGTTTCTCTTGCCCAACACGGGGGATATGCCGAATGGAACAGTTCTTCAAATCAGAACAATCCACGAACCAGCCTAGTAAGACATACTGTGTCCCTCCATGTCCATCGCAACACACGACCAGGAAGAGTTGATCCACAGCCGTAGAAAGTGCAAAGATAGAGAAAGGGCCGACTAAGGCTTCTTTCTATACATATGCTTCGACCAACCTTGGAAACCCCCAAAGTACAGTGGCGACAAACATCATGGATAAATTAAGCTTTACCATCTTGTAACCTTGCCTGCCTATTAAGACATACCAGTACCATGCAATGGGTAATGCAGGATTACTATGTAGTCCATATGGCCTCAAGCGAGACTTTCTGGCACTACGATACCATGGACTACGCAGCAGTCAATCCGTCTCTCCCCCACAAAACCACCAACAACCACCAACCCACCCACACCCACCCAACCCCCCCCCCCCCCCCCCCCCATCCCATATCCATATACTAAACCTCAAGAGCACGTCTTAATCCCCAACGAATGAGAGCCTATTTTAAACTTGACTAAAATGAAACCTTTGATGCAGACCTCGGGAGTATGTGAAAGAAAGATTTTGTACATCCATGGATGCACTTGATGTACCATAATAAATAAAGTTTGACCAAGTTAAAATTAACTTCACCCTGCATAACTAGACAAGAAATTTTTTTTTACCGCGAGACCACACAGAGTAAATTACCTTCTTGAAAATAAAAAAAAAATAGATTTGATAAAAAAACAAAAAAGAAACGTCCCCGGGAAGGCTTGAACTTCCAACCTCCCGATTAACAGTCGGACGCGCTAACCAATTGCGCCACGGAGACTTATTTGATGAATAGCGAGGAAGATTCATGATATATAAACCAAATGACTATATTGGGGTCAAATGATGCTCTACAAGTGAGTCTGTAGAGCCATGCCCTCTGCGTTGGTTTAAGTTAACAAGAATATTCGGCCGCATGAGCGGTCTTGTAATATCTCTTCAGTCCACTTTCCAGTGGCCTCTTTAATTGCCTTCTCAGATATCACTCTGTTCAGATGCCTTGCCAATTTTATAGACTGATGGCAAAAAACAAAGGCTGAGTCTGTACAAACGACCAATTAATGTATAACATTCTATTACTATCACTATAACTATAATATAATAATACGACATAGGACACATCGGACATCTCTATTGAAGCGTAAAAAAGAAGTATAGCCTCATGGAGTTCATTCTATACAACATTGATACTTGTCTGCACTCTTCCCAATTCCCCGCACTATTCCCCGTACCCTGATTTTTTCCTATTTCAAACACTTTCATCCATTATCCTTTCTTATACCATAGTACAGCAGAATTACTAGTCGGGTACCCTTGAGGTTAACAAAATGTGTACAATATAGACATTTTTGGGACTTTGAAGGACATGAGATACTCAACCAATTGTAGTGAAGTATAATATAGGTAGCCTCATGGATTTCTAGTGTTATTACTTCATAGTTTCCTCACTGTTCCCTATGCTGACCCTGTACCTTTCCTGTAACTAGTTCTCTTTCATCCAAATGCTTAACTTCAGTCGTCTCTCGCTTGAAATACATGAAATCTCCACTATTCGTTCTCCACTGACATTTGCCACAATCAAGTCTCCGTGGCGCAATTGGTTAGCGCGTCCGACTGTTAATCGGGAGGTTGGAAGTTCAAGCCTTCCCGGGGACGTTTCTTTTTGTTTTTTTCCCTTTTGTACTTGGTCTTGTGTGTGAGTGGCATTTGCACAATTTTGTTCGCACAAAACATCACTAATGCGAAGGGGGAGAACGAACATACCAGAGATTACAAAAAAAAGACATTGTAGAAAAGGAGTCTTGAATAAGGAACGTGCACTGTATCATCTTAGGCAAAAGGTAACGTCTTCAATGTCTGTACTGATTGATGTACGTCGCCAACATTGGAAGGGCAAAAGCGGCAGATTATTCTTGCATTGTACATATTAGTTTTCCTCGGTAGTGTCAAATATCACAAGAAATAAACTGAGCACATAACAAACCACCCTAAGCCCCCGTAGCCAAAGGCGTCGTAACAGGCACCGCACCGGAAGGACACACACAAGCCGTAACGGAGGTGACCGGCGGCTCCGTACAATGCGGTGTCAAATCCCAAGGAACAGAAGTAACCGGCGCCTTCTCGTGAACCTTCTCAGCTTTAACCAACACCGGAATAACAGATCCAGTGTTCAACTTGAAGGTCCGGTGTCCGACAACCCTCAGGAGCGAGGAGATCTCACCCGAATGCGAGGTAATTGACACAAACGACTTTTTCTTAGACGAAGAAAAGAAAACATCACCCAATGCCTGGGCACTTCTAAGATCCTGCGCACCGCTAGACTCACCCGTCACGCCGTTCCACAATTCATCTTCCTCGGTGAAGCCGTGTTCAATGCGCCAGTGCGGGAACAGTGAGTGGATGTAGCTACGACTACGGCGGTGATCGCAGGTGTGGATGCTGATTGATTCACGGAAGAGTTCCTTGATAGTCGGCTTGAAGGGGGCGCTGTGTTTTGGTAGGTGCAGGCCCGTGAAAGTTAAGTTGGCGGTTTGAAGGGTGCGTGTCATTGGGCTGACATAGTAGAGATCCGGTGTGTGGATTCGTTGTTCGTTTATTTCCTTTTGCCAGAAGGCGTTTGCCTTGAGTGCTTGGGAGGCACCGCTCGGTGTAAGGGCGGCATCTGCCCAGGTTGATGTGCCATTGCCGCTGAGTTTAGACCAGTAGCACTAAATAGGATAATTAGGTTTGGTCGTAGTGTGTGGTTAAGGTGGATAGTTTGGGACTTACGTTCCACGCGGGTGTTCCATAGTAGGATTCGGCAGCATTGTGATAGCCTTCTCCATGTCGACCAAGGAACAGAACCTTATACTCGACGTGTGGTGGGGAATGGTCATTCAATGTGGCGACCTGATTGTCGAAGCGCTCCCATTGGGTTAGAGACTTGTGTTTCCTGAGATCCTTGTCTGCGGGATATGCGCGGTCGATTAGGCCGAAGTTCTCCGCTGTCTGAACAGGTTAGTGGACCGAATTAATGATTCAAGGGATAAACATATGGATTTTGGATTATAACCATTTCCAAGGTTTGGATTTACGCTTACATAGTCAAATGTAGCTGGATCAGTGGTCTCCTCATCCTGCAGGAAGTAGCCTGGGACTACAGAGTACTTGATAGTCGATGCCTGCACGACAGACAGGCCCACCAGGGCGAAACCAAGGGAGAGTCTCATCGGGTTTAAATCTCAGGTTGTTCTTTCAGGATGAGATCGACAAATATGTCTAAACGCTCCTTTTATATGTTGTATGTGAAAAGGCCTCGGACTGTAAACGCACGTGCGAAGTGTAGTCTAGTGGATCCGCTTTTCGGCGTTCAATGACATCCTATCGTCCGCCACGTGCAGAACTTCGTCATGAATTCCAAAAAGGGTAATTGTTTACTAGAAGCTTGAAAATGTTTATGTTTAAGAGATCTCCTTTTTGAGATATATGAGGTATAGATACGTAACAGATGTATATGTATCCTGAAAAATGTGGAAAACCAAATGCAGCCATATGCAGAGCCCAAGTTCAAATCCCATCCACAATACCCGATTCCAACGGGGTTAAAAAAGGTCCAAGAGAAAAAGCAGAGAATGTAAAAAGAGGTCTCGAAGTTCCCGTAAGAGACCTCGGCAGAAATTAAAAGGTCCTATCAGACACCAAAAATAACAAAAACAATCATCCCAGGCCAATAAACAACATGCAAGGAATGCTCCAAATATGTAAAAATGTAAAAACCCAGTGAATACACTCCAAATAAAGAGACACGAAAAGAAATAGTATATAGACGACATAAAGTGACAGTGTTTCTCCGCGTACGGAGGGGGAAGAAGAAAAGGTGAAAGCGAAAGGTTTTGCGTAGTGAACTCGTCCCAGACCAAAAACACCAAAAGTTGTCGCGTATTTCTCATACATCCATAGTAAGGGAAAGGCCAAGGGCCCCTCCCTCAGGAAGGGTAGTTGCTTGGTGTTGTGTTGTTCGCGAACGTGTAGGCTTTGGGCTTCTCCATTGATGGCAAATGATGGCCACCGAAGCGGGCATCGTGCTCTGGGAATTCATGCATCATAAATTCGGTCCGCTTCCTTTCCGCGAGCTCGGCAGAGCCTGGCATGTCGGTATCTTCGATCGAATAGATCAAAGAGGGAGAGCCAGAGACTGATTCCATTCCGAAAGACTGACCGGTGTGATCAGTGGCCCCATTATATCCCATGGGTGAGACGTTGGTTGAATGCGGCACCTGGAGACCAGCCGGGTACTCGGGCGAAGGGACAGAAGCGCTGTCGGCCCAGCTGCGGGCTGGGATGGGAATTGAGTCACATGAGAGATATTCGGGGAAGGAAGAGACATGAGCCGGAGCCGACATCGCTGGGGCCACATTTTGGTAAGGGAAGGGAGAGTAAATATCCATTGGCGTGGTAGGAGGTGATGCCATGTTGACCTGCATGGGTTGGGAGGTGGGGAAGAAGTGGGCTGTCGCGTGGGCTGACAAGCAGTAGTTACTATCCGTGGGGGAGGCAGGCATGAAATGCTGGAGGTCTTGCGGGGTCAAGGGAGTGGGTGGAGCTAGGGTATTGGTCGAGACTGAGGGTCGCAGCATCTTCTCGGCCTTCTTGATAGATCCGGAATCTGCAAATGTAAAATTAAGAGGGGACCGCTGGGCAGCCGATGCCTTCCTCACACCGGCATACCGGGCATTGAGGCTCTGAGTTGATTTGGATTGTCTCATCGAATTTCCGACACCAGAGCTAGGCATACGAGCGGTAGGTGAGAGAGAGGACATCGAGGTCGAGTTAGCCAAAGGACGAGCTCCCGAGGTACCAATGGCAGCGGGGCGAGGGCGCTTGCGGCGGGCGGCGAGATCCAGCTCCTTGCCGGGTTCCTTCCAGCACGTTGCTTCCACTTGCTCGACAGATTGAGATAGCCCAGGTTGGCCGGTAGTACAGATTCCGATGCCATCTAGTGAGGCAGTGAGCGCACTAGACGACTCACGACGCGTGACAGAGATATCTGGTGCTTGCATGGACATCGGATATTGAATGTTGCTGTAGACAACGCTATCGTGCCGTGATTCGCTGTCCTCAGACCACTCTTCCCTGTGAGGGGGTAGGTGATTCGAGTAGACGTCCAAATTCTGTTGCACAGAGTGGGGAGGGTTAGGCATCTCTGCCATTGATTGGTGGCAAGTGGTATATGAGGTTTGCTCTGTAGTGCCGTATCCCGTGTTCTCATTGTGCTCGCTGGATCCCCACGAAGCTGGCTCTTCTTTCATACCAGACCAGCCCGAAAAGGAAGAGTTCATGTTGCCAAGATTCCCATCATGAGCTGGAGTGACCGATTTTGGTGGCGGCATTGAGTTAGGGGACACTGCCTCCTCTTCTTCCTCTTCTTCTTCGGCAACAGGGTCGTTCTTGCTCCGGGGGTTGATCCGGCGACCGAATCGGTCCCGGGCAGCATAAGCAGCATTCAGCGCCCTCTGCAGAGATGCAAAAGTTGCTTCTCTTGCCGACTCGCTCTTTGTTTTGTGGTGCTTGGGACGGCTGGACGTGGACTCTGTCTTGACATGGCCACTGGATGTGGAGGTTGGTGTCTGCTTAGGAGTAGCGCACTTCTCAGAGTCCTCCTTGGCGATTGATCCTCTTCGAGATCCAGAAAGTTGGTCCAAAGTCTCTGATTTCCGGCGCGCAGCCTCCTCGGCTTCGGCCTTTGCCTTCGTCATTTTCTCAAATTCTTCCTGGCGTTTCTGTTGCTTGGCCTTTGCGCGACGATTCTGAAACCAATTCTGCACACTAAATTAGCTCCCTGGTAGACAAGAAGGTTGCAATCTCTATTTCTTTTTAACATACTGCAACGCGAGGCAGACTCAGATTTGTCTGAGCCGCCAATTGACGCTTAACATTGCTGCTTGGTTTCGGATGGGCCTGGAATTGGGCCTCCAAGGTTTCAACTTGTTCCTTGGTCAACCGTGGGCGCGACAGATTTTCTGTGTATTCGTCATAGTCCATAATCGGTTGGTGGTAATAGTCGATCATCTCCATTGGCGGGTGAGGGTACATATAACCATCCATGGGGTGCATCATCGGAGGAGGGACCATAGACGGGTCATATGCCATGTGTTGGTCCATTGGAATACCCTGATGACCCGGGTAATTCCATGAGGGGTGGATATAGCTCATGGCGATCTGAAGAGGAAAGTAGGTAGGTATAGGAGATAGGAAATTGCGGGAGAAGCGAGAGAGATAGAGACGGGGATAGAGATGCTGCACAAGAAATTGGCAACTTCGAGAAATAAGGTCTATATCATGAAGTAGATTTAGGATGGTCAACCTATGATGGAGACAGGGACCTTGTAGATGTAAAGGAAGTAGGGCAATCCTTCAAGAAAAAGAAAAAGCAGTGGTAGCCTGTGATATGGCCGATGTTAAGGAGAGACTCGGGAGTTAGGAAGCCAAAGGAGTGTGCATGGAAAAAGAAACGAAAGAAAAAGCAAAGAACACAAGCGTAAAGGAAAGACTGTGTGGGAGAAAGAAAGGATGAAGAGAGAGAGAATGGGGTTTGGAGGCGCTGGGGGGGAAGATCGGGGGTGACGGGTGGTAAAGCGCGGTACAGAGTTGCCGAATGGTATGATATGATTGGGTGATAGGGTATTGTTCAGTAACGGGACATCAGATGAAAAGGTCTGTGTACTGGGTACATGAGACTTATGTACTATCTGTGCCTGGTTTGCGAGTACATGTACTTCGAGTATAAGAAATAAAGAATTATATTAAAGAATAATGGAAACAGCTATGGGAAAAGCAATTCAGATCTTGGATCTACTCCGTACTCCGTACCTGTTGGAGTTTCAATGGGAATATCCACACAAATTATACGAATTATACCGTATTTCATCCTTTTTTAGCCTGTGGAGTCGCGCTACCGCCCGCTCGGTAGGGGGTGGCGGCCTGACTGCATCAGAGTCACATTTTGATCTCATTTTATCTTGTATTCTTTTATTCTTCTTGTATGTATCCTGTCATTTTTAAATTTCATTTTTTCTTTCGAGAATAGAGTTGGCCCAGAACATGATTCCGATCCCGTCCGGGCTCTCCTCGTGAACCTTTTCAAAGATGTGTAAAGATAATTTAAAACCCCATAGGTTCCCTTTCAAGTTGGATCTCATATAGATATTTGAATATGCTATAGCAGTACTAATGTGCTTAATATACTAAAGTACCCGCATATAGATTGTGAATCTTGGAAACTTCGGAGTAAACAAAGGCGAGCCAGGGTTCAACTGTGGAGAAAGTTTGGTTCGGATGCCTCCCGCGGTAATTAAGTTCTCTTCAGGACATCCAAAGTTGCGTATTCCGCTTACAAAAAAACACAAACGCAAAAAAATCCAGTTCCTGCATTAGCGTCATGTCTGATCCTAGGAGATTGCTGCAAAGGAAATCATCAGAAGAATTTAATTTAAATAAAATCAGTGGATCTCCTTTATGTTATTGTTTGCTCTGCGGAGTACAGAGTACCGATGATTTTATAGCTTCAAGTTCATTTCAAAGATGGTAATAACCAATCGGTATGAGCACAGATCACGGTGATTGGGACTTGCATGATTTTAGGTAGTCACATTTCCCAAACAGCCATCCCGGTCAAGTCCAAGTGCTCCCTTGTACTCCGGGTGACTGGACACCGGTGCTCTGGGTCAGCCGATCGTAGTCTCTCGGGTACAACCCATATGATTCGAGGATCGTCAGAATGATGTCGATTTTACTCCATACGGAGTACAAAGATACGGGTATAATATAGAGTATTGACTCCTGAAGCAACTGAGAGCTATCTGTAACAGTGTTTGGTTTCCACTAGTACAAATTGATACTAGTGCAGGCGCATGGCAGCTCAGCCAAGATATACTAAACATCAATAGTCGACAGATCCCCCGTCGATCACTCAAGGATCTGCCGAGCTTTTTTTCTTTATCTCTTTCCTTGGATGTGGCGCCCCCTCTTTGGGCATCTTTTCTAACCCCTGTTATTCGATTTCTCCAAGGTCCAACCAGATTCCCGGTGTGACACAATCTCATCCTTTCCCGGGGACCTGGTTGGACCCTGCTCAGCGGGCGCTAAACGTCTTGAAATAACTCGCTCCATGCAAGCAAGTCACGAGGGTTGCAGCAACTTTGTCTACCCCTTAACATGCACATGCGGATGA